GTTTTATGCCATTTTGAACACCTCATTTGTAAAATAGGAAAATGTTTTTATGTCATACAAAATTCTGAAGAGGAGTTTGAATTAAGTATTTTACCTTTTTTTAGAGTAACTGAATAAGTTTTATAGATCCATTTTTATTAAATTAAATATTTTCTAAGTGCTATATTTGTTCATAGAACCATACTAGCTTCTAAAAGGAATTTAAAAAGAACTATTCATTTATAACTTTGAGGATCATAGTCAGAGGTTTTCAGCTGAGGATGATTTTATCCCCTCAGGGGGTATTTGACAATGCCTGGAGACATTTTTCGTTGTCACAACAGGGGGCTGTCACTGGCATCTAGGGGGTAGAGGCCAGTAATGTTTCTAAGCATCCTATAATACACAGGACGGCCCCACACAACAAAGATTATCTGGCCCAAAATGTCAACTGTGCCAAAGTTGAGAAAACNCCCTACTAGATTATAAATAGCATCTGGAAACAGCAAGAGCTCAACATAGGTTCATTGTATAGATAATTTGGGCAAACCACTGTGATTAAATAATAATGCCTCTTACCTCTACATGTTCTATTCTCCCAGTTACCATGTTAGTACCAGGTACAGGAGCATGGAACATAATACAACCTCCAAACTGGTCACTTCCTATTTCTTCTCCAAACTTCCCTTGGAGACATGTCTGTGTAGCAAATTCACCTTTAAAAATATTTTTAAAGCAGCATAAAAGAAAAAATGTCACTATCTTCCTATATTACAGATTTTTTTCTCATAATTAATTTATCTTTTTATTCACAAATAATTTTGATCTCATCCTGAAATAGTATTATTTGTATGTACATCATCTCCTCTTCTAGATAGCAAGAAAGGTAGTTTGTTTTGTTCACCTTTGCATTCCCTAAAGTATTTACTGCAATATTTTTCACAGAGGATACTAAATAAATATTTGAATGGTTGACTGAATAATGAAAAAGGTATTTTATTTTATTATTTCTGAAGCTTTCTGCCAAGATTCGGGGATTAACATAATTAATACAATCTTATACTTGAATAGCACTAGAATATGCATTATGTTACTTAATTCTTACAACCATAGTTTAAGTAGGCAGAACAGAAAGTATTCTTATTTTAAACCA